CAGGTCTCCCCTTCTGCTCTTTGCCATCATCATCCTCTCTCACTATCTTTTTTTCATTTCTCCTATTTATCTCCCACTGCTGCTTTCTTTCCATAATTTCCATCCCTCAAAGTTTCCATCCCCAATTGAGGCCTGAGCCTAACCTCTTACTAAGACCACCTGTGACAAATTGCCCCTATTCTGATGGCGCCTGATTATAGCAGCCTCCTTGGCGCCAAATAGATTTGGCAAAAGCATGTTCTGGGTAATGATTACACCACTGCTCTGCTCAGCCAGTTACAGAGGTGCACGGAGTTCACCCTCTCCCTCCCCAGCTTCAACTGGGCTCTGGCAGACAAATGGCTTGATGTTTAGGGCTAGATAGGGCTTTCACGGTTTTGAAAGGTATAGCTCTCTTCTCCAACCTGACACCTTCTCCTTTTCAATTGATAATAGCTCTTGTACCCTTTTGCTTCTGCAGAATTAATTTCAAAAACATAAATGCTTTGTTTGACTGTCCTGTTATTTATTCTCTGCTGGTTTATTATTTAGATATAGACGTTCTTTCTAAAACAGGAGCAGGAAAAGTGCAAGTGGGCTCACCTGATGCTTCCCACAAAACTTACCCAATTTATTCAGTCATTTGGCACAAGAAAGGCTCTTGTGTGCTTCAGTTTTTTATGCTCTCTAGGATGCTAATTGTTTTTCTTTTGATAATCTTGTAGTTTTGGCCTGAAGTCTAAAATCTGACCTGCTGGGCTATGTGTCAGATTTCTAAATTTGATGACATCTGTTTTGAATTTTATCAACTTTAATTTTCTTTCAAGCTCGCTTTACTTATTCATTTCCCTTTCAATTGTAAGGATCAGACTTTGCTGTATGCTTTAGACAAAAGTGTAGACCTTTCTGCTTTGGGGGCAGAGATTAACTGAAGCTAAATAGTCATTTAGCTTTGAATAGCCACAGTGAAGGCTATTCAAAGAAAAGATGTTGGGAGAGAAGCCTTAGCAACCATCCCAGACAGTATGAGCCATTCAGACAAAAGGCTGGCTGTCCACACCAGGGTTTAGAGATTCCCACTGAATAATTGCAATCGACTGGAAAAGGATTGACAGTGAGGGTTGAACTGAGAGAAGTATTTTCAATTGAGAGAAGCTAAGGTGGGTGATGATGGCAGTAGTGGTATGAGGTGAGTGGTGACCTTTTCATTGCTTTACATTTAATTTTGCTGTTTCCTAATCTGCCCTCTCGCCTCAGAAAAATAGTAAATAAAATATATTTTAAATGCATTCTCATACATGCAGACTCATATTTTCGTAGTGCAACCTTATTTTTCCTTTTTATCTACATAACTCCTAAATTGTTTTTTCATGGGGAAATTTTTTATTGCTAATTGAATGAGGCATCAATATGGTTAGACTTCGTGTCTCCATCCAAATATCATCTTAAATTATAATCCCCATAATCCCCACATGTCAAGGGAGAGACCAGGTAGAAATAAATGAATCATGGGGGCAGTTTCCCCCATGCTGTTCTTGTGACAGCAAGTGAGTTCTTATGAGATCTGATGGCTTTATAAGGGGCTCTTCCTGCTTCACTTGGCACTTCTGGCTGCCTTGTGAAGTTGTCTTGCTTCCCTTTTGCTTTCTTCCATGATTGTAAGCTTCCTCAGGTCTTGTAGCCATGCCAAACTGTGAGTTAACTAAACCTCTTTTTTTTTTTTTCTTTTTTTAAATAAATTACCGAGCCTCAGGCAGTTCTTTATAGCAGTATGAAAATGGACTAATACAGGCCTACTTATTAAAAATGGATTTTCCTGTTAAGATGCCTAAGGCAACACCTTTCCTTTCTCTTTATATAAAACTTTTCACATATATAATCTCAGAAATGTCAACTGGCCTCTTGAAACCTTGTGTCCATAGGACAATAGAGAATAGGTGAGCACTGGCCAGGACATGGGCTCAAACTTTCACTCATGGCACATGTCAGCCATGGCTGGGAGAAGACACAGTTCAGCTGTGCATACAGCATAGAATGGCTCCCTCAAATACCAGCTGCAGAAACTGTAAACCAAATTTCTGAAACTGCATCATTAAAATTGGCCAACAGCAACTTTGTGGCTACATATAAATGGCAAATCTTTTTCATGATGCTGGCCTTGACTGTCCTGGACGCTGCCATGTGTTTAGGTCATTGTTAGTTAACTCATGGGTCTATGAAAATGCTGTTTTTGAATGGTGTATGTATATAGTAGTGATTCTCAAGTGGGGGAGGTTTTTGTTACCTTAGGGACATTTAGCAAAACCTGGAGGCATTTTTGGTTGTTGCAACTGAGAGGGGGCGCTGTTACTATTATCTAGTGGGTAGAGGCCTGCATTGCTGGTAAATATTCTATAATGCACATGGCAGCCTCACAACTGAAAATTATCTAGCCCAAATATCAATAATGCCAGGGTTGAGAAACTCTTGTAATAGGCATCTATGTATCAAACCAGGTGACAACACATTTTTATAGGCTCAATCAAACCCATTGTGTTGAAAGAAAAAAATATTTACGATGACTCTACTTCTGTGAATAGTTATTGACTCTGGTGACACTGTTGGTCAGATTATATTCTCTGTGTGTAGGGGCTGAGAGTCCTTCCCAGTTGGCTCTCCACCTGCAACCTCCTTTCTTGGTTATCAGCATCATCTCCATTTCTATGCAGTCACTCAAGCTAGATATCTATGGGTGTTCATCCACTCCCCTCTTCTTACTCCACCTCCTATAGGTGATCAGTTCCTCTTAATTTTGTGTTCTCTACTTTAATGATCTGCCTTAACTTCTTAGGCTCTCATCATTTTGTCTATACCTCTAACTTTGTCTTTTGCCAGCTGGCTTCTCCAGCCAAATTAATTCAGTGCTTCATGATATTAGTTACTCCTGATTTGCCTATTTATTTGGTGAAAATATTTGAGTGCTTACTATCTGTTAATTCCTGTGCTAAGAGCTGTGGTCATTCTCTATATTAAAGTCTTTCTAAGCCTCCTTGTTGCTTACAGAACAAACCCTTGCTTCTAACACAGCATGTAAGGCCTCTGATAATCTGCCTCTGACCTAACTTTTCAACTTACTCTCCTACCCTACTGAACAAATTATCTTTCCTTAGTCTGAGCACATACTATATGTATTGTTGTATGTGCTAGTTTTTTTTCCATTTGTGGTGTCCTTTCTACTCTTATCTGGGGAATTTTCATTCTTTCTGTGCAACTTGACCTAGTGTCTAGAGAAATGCCTGGCACATAGAAGATAATAAATAGGAAATAAACTTAAATTTTACCTTCTCTGTGAAATATTCAATTCCCTGGCTGCTGGTCAGTGCATCCCTTTTTCTCCATAGCCCATTGTGTGCACTTCTAGCACATCACATCCTCTGACTGTGACTCTTTAGGGTATCTTATATCTCTTAGGACCTCCAGGCTCTACACCATGCTGAACATAAAGTGGACCCAAATGACTAAATGCTCACTTCTTTATCAAGATGGCTTCTTGTGGAATTCTTGTCTCACACTGAAATGGCATGCATCATTTGTTATTCCAAAAAACCCACGGAATTTGGCAAAAGTTGCAAATGGGGCCCACTTTTCCTCCATAACTGAGCACCTTCCATTGTCTATGATGGGGTTGAGTCCCTCCTCTTTTACTTTGTCATTGTGTTACATTGGGAAGATATTTAACCAGTATCTCAGCCTCTGTTTCTTCTTCTGTAAAGTAGGATTAAGTGACACCTGCCATGTAGAAGGGTCATGAGGATCAAATGAAATTACATACTTAAAAGGCTTTTGTAACTTCTAAAGGTCATAAAGCTTTTCAGTTTCTCTCTATTCAAAACATAGCAAAATAAATAAAACCCCGCCCTCAACCCTGCGTGGCCTTGTATATTTTTTTTCCAAAGACAAGCTTCTTGAAAAGGCCAGTTTGTGCATTGTGTTCACTCTCTCTGTAACCCCCATCATTCTGTTTTCTGCCAGCCACCCCAATGGCAGCTTCCTCACCTCAGTCGTCAATAATATCCTCATGGCCAACACCTATGCACACTTCTGCTCTTCCTTCATTTGATCTGGCTCATCTGCCATTATACCCTGCCTTTGTACATGGCGGGGTATAATCAGTCCAGATTTCAGGAAGCTCACCCCGGCCCCAGTGCAGACATCCCCTGCTGTGTACAAAGCTTTACAATCACTCATCACTGCTTTGAGGGAAAAATTGAACTCCTTAGTCCACTCTGTTGAGCCTACCATCCTCTGGTCCCTGCCTACCATTTCATCAGCATCTCCTAATGTTATTTTCCTCGTAACATAACCCTAGTCATACAAAATGACTTCTGCTTCCAGAAAGTGCTTTTTCAAAATGCTGCCCAAAAGACACCCTGGTGCAATCTGGTTATCTTTCACTACTTGGTTCAAAATATCACCTCTTGAGGAAAACTTCTGATATCAGCTTCCTACCTCTCTTCCTTTGATGCAGAAGTAGATACTCCATCACAGTATTCTCCATGCCCCTTGAGCCCATCTTGATAAGCATAACCTTTTAACCATTCTGCCATTTTCCCATTATGCACTTAAATATTTATCTCTTACACTAGTCAGTGAGCTTCTTGAGTGCAAGGTACATGTTGTTATCTCTCTATGTATGTCTAGCTTCCTGGTACATAGTAAGCTATGTTAAATTATTCAGTATGACAACTTAAATTGTTAAATGCTTGTTGAGTAAATAAATGAGTGCTATAAAATATTATTTTTACTATATTCTTATTCCTTTACTATATATTGTGAACCTTTTAAATCTATTGTTTTGTTACATTCTGTTTTTCACATATTTAGAAGAAAGATTCTAGCAAGTGCCATGATTTATACAGATATTACTCTCTGTTGAGATACAGGTTTTAGCTTCTTTTGGAAGTTAGAAAGGCTTAGCTGTCTGTGTTCCACCTCCACAGGTGCACAGCAGCTCCCTGAGGTACACAGAAGCTCTTGCTCACCTGTTACTTCCAGCTTTGGCATTTTCCAGTTGTCGGGTAAGGAGTTTAGCAATGGCAGTGAAGCTGTTGCTCATCCGGAAGATGTCTCTGCTCTGAGGGCCCAAGATTGACGAGAAGGTGTCGGTGATGCTTTTAATCTCCAGCAGGAGAATATGGTGAAATGAATGCTCCATGTTGGCCAGCTGACTCACCAGGTATGTCAGGCAGCTCCTGGCTCTCTCCTGCCAAGAACAATGAAGAAAATATGTTTATATTTTAAAAGAAAATCAGTCAGCCATGGTGGGTCATACCTGTAATCCCAGCACTTTGGCAGGCTGAGGCGGGTAGATGGCTTGGAACTAGTTTGCCACCAGCCTGGGTAACATGGTGAAAACCCATTTCAACTAAAAATAAAAAAAAAAATTAGCTTGGCATAGTAGCACACACCTATAATCCCAGCTACTTGGGAGGCTGAGGCATGAGAATCTCTTGAACCCAGGAAACATAGGGTGCTGTGTGCCAAGATCGTGCCTCTGCACTCCAGCCTGGGTGACGGGGAGACTTGGTCTCAGAAAAAAAAAAAAAAAAAAAAGAAAGAAAGTGAAAAGAAAAAGACAGAGTCCCATGAGCAGCAGATGGTAATTCTATATGGAGTTGACTAAGGAAGCTAGCTCAAGTTGAATAATCAGTTTCATTCATAGTTCCTCTGAATCTGCTTCTTTGGGGTTTTTGATTTATTCCTGATTTCCAGGATAGACTAATAAGCAAACATTCTCATTAACCTATCTTTCCAGGTCAAAACCTCTCAATCATCATAAGTGATTGAACCCCACACATGCACTTTTCGCAACTATGTGAACTGCTAACTCCACCTGCATGGGGCAGGTATGGTCCACGGTCTCAAAATGAGCCTTGACCCTGGCACATACAACCCATCTGTCTATTGGGTGATGATGCCTGCATATTCCACTAGTGTGCAAGGCTGACTTCCTTGCTGCAGGTTTTCTCAATGACTTGTTAACTTTAAGCATCTTTCAGTGTATTATGGTTTTTATATGCTTGGCTGATTGAGTAGATTATATTGTCTAGCTGTAACCAACTATCTTTCACAAGTCATTCAAGTTCCTTCAAAGAACGGAAGATTAAGAACAATGTGAATAATGTAGGCATAAGCAAATAAGAAAAGCTAATACATCTCTTACGTCTATTAAAACTCCTCATTAGCCATATTTTCAGGCAATGTGATCTAATCTGACATAACTGGAAGTTAGCCAAAAAATTCAAAATTATTGAAAAGGTTATTTGAAATGTAGATTTGTGCCCAGTAGAAATAATAATAATATACCATGAATAAATAATTTAAAATTGGCTTATTTCATCTTTAACTTCTCTTTTGAAATCTTATTTTTGCGTATGTCTAAAATTTTTCCTTGTTAGTGTACTGGAACATACGTACAAATATAAATATATATTGAAGGTTGCTGCTCACAATCCTTCTAACTGATTGGTGCCCGGATCTATATTACTCTCCTAGTTAGGAATTCTTACTTACCCTTTGTTCTAGCATTTGAAGCCTTAATTTACTTCAAGATGCAATTCTTCCATGCGGCTGTTTTTGGTTACACCTTCTGTGTAAATTTTTACTGCATTATAGACTCTTCAAAAATCTTAAAATTTTCTTTTCTTTTAGTATCTATTGAGATAGTCACACTCTGTTGACCAGGCAGGAGTGCAGAGGTGTGATCACGGCTCATGGCAGCCTTGATCTCCTGGGCTCAGGGAATCCTGCTGCCTTAGTCCCCTGTGTAGGTGCACCACAGGCGTGTGCCATGACACTCGGCTACTTTTAAAAAATTTTTTGTAGAGACAGGGTCTCACTGTGTTGCCCAGTCTGATACTGAATTCCTCGGCTCAAGTAATTCTCCTTCCTTGGCCTCTCAAAGTGCTAGGATTATAGGCATGAACCACTGTGTCCAGCCAAAAATCTTTTTAGTACTTAATTGCATTTGATTATTTGCTTACTCATACTTTTATTTAATCACCAAAGAGGTATGGCATGGCTATAATATGCTTTTATTAGACTCTAGATAACAAAGGTGAATTAAAGGATGTCCTTGCTTTTAAGAAACACACAATCCCTCGACCTGTTATGTATAATTTCCTAGTGGTTACATGTGCCAGTCGAGTCTTCTAAAGGAGCCATTTTTCATTTATCAGTCATCAACCAGGCACAAACTTGAGCCTGGGGATTCCACACCCAGTGTGTGTATCTCTGTTTACTGATTTTAAAAAACCTTGTATGTCAAAATATGACCTTATAAATAAAGTATGTTGTTACAAAGGAATTCTGTGCTTTGCAAGAAATATTTAATACAGAACAAATTTAAGTAGTGACGTTCCCTCATTTTTCATACTTGATTTTCAAATATTCCATGTACAAATGCAGTGGAACACATCTCTTGGGGGAAATGGGGTAGTTCTGCCATCAATCCTTTATTTATTTTTTTAAACCCCACTAGGGCACAGCACCCTGTATGGGTATGTGAGACAGAGGCTTGTGCTTTCATGAGCTAGACAGCTAGTTGAAGCTAAAGACATCTATTCATCAAAAAATAATGTTAGATGAATGAAAAATAAAGACTCCTGGAATAAGTTCCTGGAGCCCCTGTTTCATATTTTGGCTCAGGCAATTGCCAGGAATGCTCTTGGATCCAACAGTTTTTTGCAACATTGACTCATTTATTAATTCAAAGGCTCCATGTGTGAATTCATGATATGCGATGCATCAAGGGACATTTTCTATTCCTGATTTAAAGGTAAACGCTGGATGTAGGGGGTCCCTACCATATGTCAAGCTCTGTTCTAGAAGTTAGGAACATATCACTGAAGAAAAAGCACAAAAATGCCTGCCGCAATAATGAGGGAGACAGACAATAAACAAAATATCTATGTAAAATATATAGTGTGTTAGATGGAGAAATGTGCCTCAAAGGAAAATGAAACAGAAGGGGGATCCAATGGCAAATAGTGTATTTAGGTCACATCTCAGAGAGAAGGTGACGTTTGAATTTGGCAAGGTTTTAGACTCTAAACTCAGCATTTTCAATAACCTTAGAAAATAATTACCATAAAATTTATCCTGCTTGATATAGGGTGGTAGGAAGATACAGGAACTGAATTTTATATATTGTTTTTCCTACTAAGATGTGATTTAAAATTTTAGGTAACTTCCTTACTTTCAGAAGTAGATTTTTCATTTGTATTTTTAAAAGCCATTTCACAAACATTCCATTTGCTTATGCAATGAATGTCCCTAGGATTTCATTAAGAATCCTTCTCACTACAAAAATTTGCAAGCCCCCTTCTTTAAAGCATATGCCTTTTAAAAGGTGAAGGTCACTGTGTGGGTATTTGCTGAAATCAACATAATTCTGAATGATTTTCTGGCAGCCAAACTGAGCTGAAAGGAAAATTAATCACTGTGCAGAAACAAGAAAAATTATAACTGCTCTGGAAGTAACGTATGAAACCAAGCCAACTTCACATCATTTGTTCTGAAACCTTGGAGCACATCCATGTACCTCACAGGGGTAACAGATGTGACTTTGGATTAGAAAGTGTGATATTAGGGCAGGAAGGGGGTTGGAGATTCTGATTTCTTTCTCAGCTTCATGATATTTTGTCTCTGGGGGCTAGTGACTGGATTTTCCTGCTTTCAGTCTTCCCATTGAGGGGATAGGGTCAGTACCCGTGAGACTTAATTGTGGGTCTGACCTTATCCCTGCTGACATAAATTCATTGTTTATTATTAAACAAAAATAGCTGACCCAGAGATGGTACTTGCTCTAAGCACCAAGCATATTCTATATTCTCTTTAGGTATTTACTCACATAATCCTCCAAATAATACTATAACGTAAGTACTACAATCATTGCCACTTTTACAAGGAGGAAACTGAAGCACAGATAGAAGACTAACTTGCTCAAGGCCACATATGCCGTCCCTATTTCTAAATCTATACCCTCACTTGCTATATGGCCAGCTCCTCTCATCAAAAAACTAAACCGACCCATACACATATTTTTCCACTCCTTTTTCTTATATCTCATTCATCATCAGAGTTATGTGTTCTTTTTTCTTAATTATTTTTACTTAGTTATAGAAATATTATAAATACTCTGTAAATACAAAATTGATCAGCAATTTTAAAATCTTTTGGTTTTAGGACCCCTTTACAGTCTTAAAAATTATCAAAGATCCCAGAGTTTTTGTTATCTGGTTTATATCTATTGATATTGGCTATACTGGAAGTTAAAATCGACAATTTTTAAAATGTGTATTTTCATTGAAAAATCACATTTTCCAAAACAAAAAATTTAGTGAGAAAACTGGTATTCCTCTATATTTTTGCAAATTTATTTAGTAACTGCTTAATAGATGACATCTAGACTCTCATATGTTTCTGTATTTGATCTGTTAAATCTGGTCTCATAAAAATGTGAAGTTAGAAAAAAGAGGACTATTTTCAAAATAGCCTTGATAATTGCGAATATTCTTCTTGGATACTATACCGGAACTCAACAAGTAGTAGTTTCTCCAAGGTTAGTAGCGATATGTGTCATTAATTAACTTTGTATACTATTACATTAAAATCCACTAGTCTGTCTTGCACTTTGAATAAATCTTTTACCTATGCATGACTTTAAAATATTAAGCACTGGTAACGTGGAAAAATACTGGTTTACTGAGTTAGGCATATCTTCCAAAGGTTGATGCATTTCATTACATAGTATAAAACACATTCAGCTCAGACAAAAATTCACTATTTTCACCACTGATCTCATCAGAAAAGTCTTTTAAGTATTGAGAAACTTTCAGGCTGACAGTGGCAGATACAGATTTTCGAAAACTCCAGTTTTCATTTGCAAGCTCAAATTGTACCACTGGCAACAAATACTAGTATCAGTAGTTTTGCTTGAAGTGAAAAGCCCACTTCATTCTTTTATTCTTTTTCTGGATAAGTCTACCAAATAGCCCCAAACGAAGAATCATATATTGTTCATTAGTTGTTGTTTCAAGTAAAAACTGTTCAACACACACACACACACACACACACACACACACACACACAACTGAAAAAAATGTGGCAATAAAAGGGCCAAAAAATAAATAAATAAAATGGTAGGTTGGCACATAGGCAAATAACACAAGAGTTTTTTTTGTTTCTTTTGTTTTGTTTTGT